GAGGGTTTGTGAAATGCTTCTGTGCAAGCAAGAACCCAAGCGCTGAACTCTGCAGTTTCCAAAACACAAATAGAGTTTCTTAATAAAAGAGTTTGTAACAAAACAAACGACAATATAAATTTGGTGTAAGAGAAAGTAACTTACTTGCATTCCACACTCTATAGAAATGGTACGGGAAGTAGACTCTCCGAAAGACAACTTTGAAATCCAATAGCCAATAGCAAAGGCTGCTGCATGAAGGAGTGCCACAGGGAGTATAAGTTGAGCTCCTTGTGTTTTCAAAACCTCTGATACTTGTCCAATCTAATAACAAGAGAAAAAAAATATTCAAGAGTCGATACTACATTCACTCCTATACATTCAATAAAGCGGTGTTTCTGGTTATATGAATTTACTTACAGGGCTAGCACAGAGAAGAGTGGTGAGAATGACTCCGATAAGAGGTGTCACTGATATAATCTTTGACGTGAATTTAGGAAAGAACTCATTGGCCAGAACTGTCCCACACCATGCATAAAAAGACGTTTATCTAAGGACTCATAGGCAAATTGATTGCTTTAGAAACACTGAGCACAACACTTACCTCCGACTATAGTAGGCACCAACACTACTTGAAAAGTGCTAACAGCAAGTCCCTGATATAAACAAATTGGATCCGTAAGCTAGAGTTACAACAACTCTGAATGAATAATTTCAAAATAGTTGGAAAGAAAACTTACAGCAGCATCAACAGGAACAAGCTGGCCAGCAAGAAGCTTAGTGAGAAGAGGAGTCATTATAATAGCCCCGATGGTTGAACACCTACATATTAGAGAACATATTATATATAAGAGAAAGAACTAAAACCTCCTACCACATTCAAGAATGAAAAAAATAAAAACATGTGAAAACAGAAGTACATACGTCGTCATGAGTACAGAGAGCGCTACATTCCCCTTGGAAATGTAGGTTGCAACGTTGGAGGCTTGTCCTCCAGGGCAGCATGAGACCAGGATAAGACCAGTTGCAAGAGGTGCCGAAAGCTTAAGTGTCTAAAAACAGAAAAGGTTTGTATTAGTTGGCTCCTCAGTAGCAAAAGGAATCATTCAGAAAATAAAATAGAAGATGATGTGATAGACACTACTAAAGGGAAACATACCATTGCAATGAGAAAACCTAGCAGGGGCTTGATCATATACTGAGCAAGAAAACCAACACCAACCTGCAGAAGGACTCAAAAACGTTAAAGGAGAAACGTATGTAAGAGTAACGAATAAATACACCAGTGGTTCATTCGTTGGGTCTCACCGTCCAAGGATTACGTAAACATCTTCTGAAGTCTTCAAAGGTAAGAGTTAATCCCATGGAAAGCATGAGAAACCCCAGACCTAGGGTAAAGAGGTCTGTTTCCAACCATGTAACCTACAAAAAAAAATACACTTAAATCTATTAGCGCCAGGAGAAACACAGATTGGTACAGATTAAACAAAAAAAGAAACATACCAAAGATGGCTTGAAGATGCCAACAAGTGTTCCCAAAATAACCTGCACACCAAAAGAAAATTAAAGGCATCACATCACATTCACCGTTTTGAGATATCTAATGCATGCATATAGACTTCATCAAAGTCAAGTAGAAAGTACCCAAAGTGGGAAAAGGGTGGTCAAAAGTTCAATAGTCTTCTCGTACTGGCTAAGTTCCTTAGGAGATTCTTCACCTGACAAATCTGCAGCAGCATTGCAAGCAACCTTGCTGCTCCTATTAAAATACAATCAACATCTTAAAATGGACCAAATTTACACTCAACACACATCAATGCATGAACTCTATCTAGTCCCCCAAAAGTACCTAGAGGAAGCTGATTCAAGAGCAAAGACAGAACTTAAAGGTTTACTGTTCTGAATCCTCAAACTTACTCCAGCCTTACTAACTGGAAACCACTTTAGACAATCTGAAAAACACACAGGAAATGGATTCAGCAAACAAAGAATAAAGAAAAAGACTTTGTAGAAAAATAGAGGATTTCTGATATTATATATACCTAAAGATTGAGTTTGAGATCTCCTTGTAGTAAGAGAAGGAAGCCATGAAGTGCAATGGCTCCTTACTCTGACATCAGTTGGCAAAACTCTAGAAATAGAGGCAGCCATGGAAGAAGGGTTTTAGGATCACAGAGAAAGAGACTTTCAAAAAAAAAAATGAGAGAAGATGACTCCAAAAACACAGGAGGAAAAAAAAGGGTTTTTGTGGAGGTGAGGAGGCCTCTTGTTATGTGATTTGGTGGGAGATGAGAAGAGCCACTCATTTTTTTAGGAAATCTTCAGAACCCTATCTGCAAAATATCTCAAGACAATTATGTAACGGATCAGTTTATTTTAGGCATGCAAATAGTTTTTTTCTCAAGTAAAAAAAAAGAAACTCTTTTCGAAATAAATAGAAAGTTGGAGGGTTTTATTGCAATTGTTTATACTTAGATTCGAGGCCCAAGTAAATACGAATCTGAGCCCAATAAGACAGAACAGCTTTCTCACTTACTGTTTTGTTTGGTCGGAGAAGCTTCGAATCGATTCGATCAATAAAGCAGAAGAGACAAAGAGAAAGAAGAAGAAAGTCACTCTCTTTTTTTCCTTTGAAGTCAGTGAGAGAGAGAAGAAGAAAGAAGAAAAGTTTGAGTTGTGATGAGTTCAGGAGGAGGAATCGTGGCTGGACCAACAGCAGCATCAGCTCCTTCAAGTGGCGGTGGAAACGTGGAGTGGCACGTGCGACCACCGAATCCTAAGAATCCAGTCGTCTTCTTCGACGTATCTATTGGTGGTATCCCTGCAGGTCGTATGAAGATGGAGCTTTTCGCCGACATTGCTCCCAAAACAGCTGAAAACTTCAGGTCCTCCCCTCTTCTCCTTCTCTCTCTCTGTTCTTCTTCTTCTTCTTCATCTCTATATCCTTTGATTCTAAAGCCTTCTCTTTTAAACTTTCAGGCAGTTCTGTACTGGTGAACTCAGGTACACTCGATCTTCTTACCTTTACTCCTGCATCGCCTCAAGAGGTCTTAGAGCTTTTTTTGGATTCAGAGAGATGAGCATATAGTCTTGCAACTTGTTGTTTCATTGTAGAGATTGGGGTGTTTTATGCATGTTTCTTGCACCTTGCTAGCTTAGCGTAGAGTGAATTGTTTAGACTAATTGAGAGAGATGAGTGGACAGCTCTTGAGTTTTGTTATGCTACTTTCTCTCATCTTTGATTATTAACCGGGTTTGGCTTGGTCTTGGTGGTGTGAATTTCAGAAAGGCTGGTAAGCCTCTTGGTTACAAAGAATGTCAGTTTCACAGAGTCATCAAGGATTTTATGATTCAAAGTGGTGACTTTCTTAAGGTCAGTAATTACTAATTACCCTTTACATAAAGTTTTTACTAGAATCTTTTGGTTTCTTCTCTTATTACTAAGTGCTCAACATTGTTACACTCGGCAGAATGATGGGAGTGGATGCATGTCAATCTATGGCCACAAGTTCGATGATGAAAACTTTACTGCCAAACATACTGGACCAGGGTTGCTCTCTATGGTATGCTTATTAACTTTTCTGAATTTTGTCTTCCTTTAATTGCAGTGAAATATAGTACTCAACTACTCATGACTGATCACTGATCATTAATATTACAGCTCACTAATGTTACGGTTTCTCTTTCTTTTCTTGTAGGCAAATAGTGGACCAGACACAAATGGGTGCCAGGTAATTTCAGTCTCATTCTAATGTACTTACAATGCAAAGCAGTGAGCATTCGTTGCCTTCTCTTCTTTGACTATGATGCTAATCTATAATTACACCTTTGCTCTTTTGCAATTGCAGTTCTTCATCAGCTGTGCAAAATGCGACTGGCTTGACAACAAGCATGTTGTCTTTGGGGTATGTCCTCTTTTCACATCCTCGCATGATTGTTAGACCAAGTATCTTTTCAATTTTCTTCTGTCAGTTCTTATGTTCGAATGAACTTCTGTCAATTCTTACTTCTCCCTTTGTGGTTATAACTGAGATTGTCTCAACAAGAAAAAACTTTTTAGCCATGATAAATAGTTGAGGCAGAAGCATTGAGTCATGAACCCTTGTGCACAATTTTTTTGGTAACAGTGTTGTTATGAGGACTCATTGCAAATTGTTCTTTTGATGTGCAGAGAGTGCTAGGAGATGGTTTATTGGTGGTCCGGAAGATTGAGAACGTGGCTGTTGGTCCAAACAACCGGCCTAAGCTTGCTGTTGTAATCACAGAGTGTGGGGAGATGTGAAATGCCTTAGCCATGAGAAAACTTTGAAGAACATTGTCTTCTGTAAGAGGAATGTAGTTTGAGGCCAAAAGCGTATTCTAGTTGTAAACCCTACCCATATGTGACTGAAGCTAAAACATTTGTAAACCTTTCACTTTCGTTGTCATCATTTCAAAAAGTGAGCCATTTTATACTCATACCTATGGATATTTGTAGAACTTGAAGGGTCAGCTCATCAACATGTAGTGTAGGCTCTGTGGGTTATTTAGAACCCTGCCTCTTGACGTTTCTTCTTGAGAGACTCTACAAGCTCTGCTATTCTAGCAATAGTATCGTCACAAACTCTTTGAAACAAATACTCAAACAACACCTTTTCATTGTGACGATCCTGTAGATGTTCTGAGTTCATCTAACAAATTATTTTTATGAGTTAGTCACGTATAAATTTATTTAAAATTAAATTTTATTGTTAATAATAATTTTTTTTTTTTTTTTTTTTTTTTTTTGTCGTCGTGTTAATAATAATTTGATGACTACTATTTAGTAGTTAAATTTTTATTTTCATCCACCTGAACCGGAATCTGTAAACCCGAACACGGATAGAATCACTTCAAGCCGAGTCCGCGCGCCTTATTTATTCGTTAGTCGTTACGTTACAGTTACATTGACCCTCACACTCTCTCTATATATATTCAAACCTCACACAGTACTTGTTTTCGTTACCAAAGAAACCATCGAGAAGGAAAAAGCCAACAAGAAAATGATGATGATGATGCAAGAAGACTTTCAAGAACGTAAGAATCTAAGCATCAACGACATTGATCTCTCACTCCTCCGCCTCTCCTCCCCACCTTACGTCTCCCACGTTTCTCCTCCTGATATCAGCCCCTTGAAACGCTCCTCCCCTGTTTCCGACGGATCTGATCAGCCTAAACGCAGAAGACTCTCCCCCTCTCAAGACCACCCAATCTTTATCTCCTCTCCTCTTCACTCCACCTGTCCAGAACCGACTACTCTGTACTCGAATCTCACTGCCAGCTACGCAAGCCCTGTTTTGGAAAAGCAAGAAACGTCGCCGTATGCTTCCAAGAATCTTGATACAGAGGTTGGTTGCTATATAANGATCAGCCTAAACGCAGAAGACTCTCCCCCTCTCAAGACCACCCAATCTTTATCTCCTCTCCTCTTCACTCCACCTGTCCAGAACCGACTACTCTGTACTCGAATCTCACTGCCAGCTACGCAAGCCCTGTTTTGGAAAAGCAAGAAACGTCGCCGTATGCTTCCAAGAATCTTGATACAGAGGTTGGTTGCTATATAACTAAAGCATTTTCTTCTTTTCTTGGTTTAAACTACTAATAAAGAATCTTGAATTTTTGGTAAAATGACAGACGATGAAAATGGTTAACAGTCACGTGGAAGAGGTCAATCACCAAGAGGCTAACTATGATGCTTACGAGGAGATCAATCACCAAGAGACTAACTATGATGCTTATGAGGAAGAAGATTGTGGAGAAGGGATGAGGATAGAGAGATCTGGAGATGGATTTGTTATTAGGTTAAAATGTAGATGCAAGCTAGCTTATAGGGTTCTTTTCTCTGATCATCACCTCTACTTCAAGTCTCTCTAAGCCTTCATCACTTGTGTGTGTGATTTAGTTAGTACTATCTTCTTACTCTCTCATTTGTTGTAACGCTTTTTTACTTTTTAATTTTTTGCAATGTAACGTTTAGAGCAATTCACAAAAGAAGCAAGTTGCACTGCCTGAGAGTGATAAGAATGAGTGAAGGAACTATCTTTACATCTCTTTGTAGAACTGTGTTATCCATTTAACAGTGTTCCTTGTTTTATTTTGAGATAGTAAACACTAAACAGTTACAATCCTGTAATATTTGCAGTACGCAAGAACCAAAGTTCAAAAAAACACAATGAAACATCTCAAAAGTGAGAAAAAAGAAAGGCAATTGGTGTTAAAACCATCAATGCCTCTCTTTATGTAAACTGTAGTAACTAGAGAACAGAAATGTCATATGTAGACTGAACTTTCATCCTATATAGAAACTGCATCCAGAAGATGGGTCATGCAAAGCTCTAAGCTTACAGATTTTGGATTCTTATCAGTCGCCAGACACAAAAGCCTTCTGCTCGTAGTACTTCTTCTCACTAGCTTCCTTTTTCAAATTACGTTTCTATAGAATACGAAAGTTTTTGTGTGAGACATTGGTGTTAAGTATACCCAACTATAAGAATGAGCAAGAATAGTAAATTGCCTGGTAAGCTTCATGGTTCGCTACAATCCTCCTGATTATGGTGGACGTTGTGATATCAAGAGGGCTATCTAAAACTTGGAATATCCCCATGCTAATTGGTACAGCATAAGGGTTTTCCTCCTCCTGTTTAATCATCAATCAGATTCTCAGAAACCGCAGCTCTTTTATATTTCACCTTAATACTCATATCTGAATCTAGTTTTACCTTTTGAAAATCATCGCTCTCGGCTACTGTCCCATGAACCACCAATGAAATGTCAAAGGTTGTGATCTGCAATATTGAAATCACTGTCAAAATTAGCTTTTCATGGAAGCCATTATGGGAATTATCAAGTAAAGAGCAGAGAAGCTCACCGTATCTTTCGACACTTCCCATGGAGCACCAATTATCACCTCATCTACATAGCGGCATGCCAGAACACTTAAGCTCCTTTCATGGAGATTCATGATTGGGCGGTGAGCTCCTCTTTTAGCACTGCACAGCAACGTAAAATGATTTTAAGCAGAGATGCACATCCAAACTTCTCAACACAGCCAAGACTTAATAGTAGATATCAGAATGGGACAAGGACTATCTATCTTTGCATACAATTAACATCATAAATCAATACGATCTTCTCCATAACACTTGCCAAGACATGAAAAGGAAAGATAACTAAATAAAAACTGAGACAATCATACAATAAAGAGACAGTCAAAATTGAGATTTAAGAACCTGACGGTCTGGTCATTATGTATTCCAACAAGAAGAAAGTCCCCAAGTTCTCTAGCACGCCTGAGAATCTGTACAAATTGAACAAGAATTAACATCGGTAGAATAAATTAGATATGATCGCTCAATATTACTTAGAAAATCTAGTTGCGCTAGTCGAGAAACATATATGATAAGCATCCATATGTAGCTGAATTATAGGTTAGCGCTCAGATGTGTCGACAAAAAAAATACAAACTCAATCTTGAAATGAATAGCATACTGAGCATAACAGCTTGACAAATTTAATTGCAGTAAGTTAACTTACTATACCTCAACATGGCCAGCATGGAAAAGATCAAACGCACCATCGATGTAAACTATACGTGCATCAGGTCCTGGCCCCTGCCACAATAAGCATGTAAATTGATCAACTCCAGATACAATATGAAAAAAGAAAAATGAAAGGATGAAGTAAATGACAGAAGTATGGGAGACGTAAATCTAACAAAGAAAAACAATCTCAAGTTACATAACGGGTACTGAGTTGAAGTAAGGCATAAAATAAGAGGTGAAGCAACCTTAGATAAACATATAAAAAGTACTTCCAAAGATTGGTGACACTTACATAGAAAGATTGAACTAGTTACTTGCTAATCATAACAATGAGGAAAACTGCTAATACTGCGGTTTGAACCAATTCTCTTCAATAACCAAAAAAACTAAGAGAACAGTAAGCTCAGAGCCACTTGGATAGCTATTAGGAACAAAAGGTTCATATACCTGTTCAACCTACTTGATCATAAATCATAAAGCAACAAATACTATTGCTATAGATATATACACATCCACAAACTATAACCGGTAGATACAGAGGCAACTAACGTACTTAATAAAAGGACACTCTTTAAGAGTTGGCATACCTTGCCATTAGAGAACTGAACAATCCTGCGGGAAGTAGGAAGAAAATGAGAGACGCGAGTACCAGCAGAAGAAACACCGTCCTCAAACCTTGGACTATTATGCCCATGGCTGAACTGCCTTTGCAAAGAGGAACGACTATGACTATCACTAACAGTTCTTTCTCTCACACAAAGAAGCATACGACCTACACATAAATTGCAAGAAAATCAAGAATTTTAGAAAACACAAAGAAACGATGCAACTTTTGTATCTTTCTTTCAGTTTTACCAACGATATCAGTGCTGGAAACTCCTTCAGTACGCTTAATCTGCTTATACCTCCCAGCCTTCTTAGCCGCTGCATAAGCATCAGTTCCATCAGGAAGAACACAAGGATCATCCCCATGAATAATGTAATCTATCTGATACTCATCAAACAGCTTCTTCATAAACTCCTCTGTGATAGCGTAAGGAGCATCAGGTATCACTTCATCCACCCACTTCACCGCATTCACCATTATCATCCTAACACAATCAACATAAATCACAAAACATACCTAAGAACAGTTATATACTCCCTCTGTTTAAATTTAATTGTTGTCTGTAGAATAAAATTTCCGTTTCAAAATTGAAAAATTTATTAATTAGTTAAGTGTATTAGGTCATGATGTTTTTATTTTAAAAAAATAAATGTTTTGCATATACCTAAAACAACAATTAAAGATTCGAATGGTAACCAACCACTCCGCACACAACCGTGAATAGTAAAAAAAACTCTCTATATATACCTATATATCTATTTGTTACTATTTGAACCGTATCTCAGTTATTCCAGCACTTTACCATTCGGAGTCTAAAATGTAACTAAATGTTTTGCATAAACCTAAACAACAATTACGGATTCCAATGGTAACCAACCACTCTGTAAATAGTAACAAAACTCTCTACATATACCTATGTATCTATTTGTTACTATTTGAACCGTATCGCAATTATTCCAACACGTTACCATTCGGAGCCTAAAATGTAACTAAATGTTTTGCATAAACCTAAAATAACAATTACGGATTCCAATGGTAACCACTCACTCTGTGAATAGTAACAAAACTCCTTACATATACCTATGTTTCTATTTGTTACTATTTGAACCATATCGCAATTATTCCAGCACATTACCATTCGGAGCCTAAAATGTAACTAAATGTTTTGCATAAACCTAGAACAATAATTAAAGCTTCAACTGGTAACCAACCACTCCGCACACTGCCGTGAATAGTAACAAAATTCTCTATACATATCTACGTTTTTGTTACTATTTAAACCGCATCGCAGTTATCCCGCACGTAACCATCCTAAAATGTAAAAACGAGGAACTAAGGAGAGAGATACCTCTCGTGAAGAGGAGTAACAGGAGGTCCTTTATTAGCTATGATCTCTTCATCACTAACAACTCCAACAACCAATTGGTCACCGAGAGCACGCGCTTGCCTTAGCGCGTTGCAGTGACCGTAGTGCATCATGTCGAAGCAACCATCCATGTAGACACGAACTGGTTTGCGTTTTCTGAAGGGAGANAAGGAGAGAGATACCTCTCGTGAAGAGGAGTAACAGGAGGTCCTTTATTAGCTATGATCTCTTCATCACTAACAACTCCAACAACCAATTGGTCACCGAGAGCACGCGCTTGCCTTAGCGCGTTGCAGTGACCGTAGTGCATCATGTCGAAGCAACCATCCATGTAGACACGAACTGGTTTGCGTTTTCTGAAGGGAGAGAGTAGACAAGGACCTAACCCTAAGCCTAGAGGAAGGTCGCCTTTGAGGAAGAGGTGGAGGAAGGAAGCTCCGACGGCGAAGGCAGCTCCTCCGATTAGACAAGTTCCGGCGATCTTCTCTTTCTCCCAAACCATTTTTTCAATTTTTGTTTTTGTGATTTTTTGAGATTCTTTGTTTCTGAGTTTGTTTGTTTGTTTGGTTTCACAGTTAGAGACGTCGGCACAGATCAGATCTCTCTTTGTCTGACTGATGTTTCTTTCTCTTTGGAAGGAACTTGGGATCGGGAAGTCTTTTCTTATTATTTGTTCGTGGAGCCGGACTAAACCACGTTAACCGATATTGTATGGTTTGGATTAGTTGGTTAACTTGTTTAGTTGTATATTTCGTGTGGTTTGGTTGAGATAACAGTATTTCACTGAAAATTGGATGAGTGGTCAAAAATCTAATTTGATTTTGAATTCAGTGAAAGTTATTGATTTACGTATTTTAGTGATTCAGTTGACAAAAAAAAAGTATTTTAGTGGACTTGGAAATACAATTTAAGTTGAATACTGTTTATTATATAATTTAAATTTTCATTTTAAATCAAAATCAATTTATAAAAATTAGTAGATTAATGAAAAAATTAATTTAAAAAATTTAGTAGATTAATAACAAAATTAATTAATAATGCATCATACTAACTACAAAAGCAACAAATGAGAGAGTATACTGTATATTTTATTTTTTGTTGTAAAATGAGAGAAGATATGAGACAATTTTTGTTGTAAAATGTTTGATGTCTTTTTCTCACAAATTACATTTTTTAATTTTTTTTTTCTTTTAAGAAAATATATTTTTGTTGTAAGAATGTGAGATGCCATTTTCTCACAAAGTAGAAAACAAATAGGGCTTACACAACAAAACATACAGCCCACTAAAACATAAACGAGGCCCAATATATTGACCCAATCATAGCCCCATAGGCATCCCGGAGTTTTGGATTTGTCGGGGAGACTGTAAGTAATTAAAAAAGTTTAAATCAACCACCGTGTGAGAAAACCACGTGTTACGATCCGGAGATAGATCTCGCAAGTTAGATGAATAATCCAACGGCAGAGACATATTCACACGTACGAAAACAGAGTTGGGGTGTGTCTTCTTCCTCTTCCCTCATCCTTGTTCCGTGTAAGTAGCAAAAAAAACCAAAAGGAAAAGGACGATGCGATCGGACAAACTGCATCATCACTTATAGAGCCAAGGAAGATTGAAAAGCAGAGAATTACATTTGGCAGAGTGTGGATTTTTGAGTGTTAATCGAATCCAATGCGTTTGTAAATTTTGAAAGGCATTTGAGATTTGAATCTAAACCGGGGAGATATGAAAGGAGGAGGAGGAGGAGGGAAACGACGGTGGAGATTTCTGGTGATTGGAGTGTTGGTTCTTATCATATTATCTACGCTTGTTCCTCTCGCGTTTTTGCTCGGCCTTCACAACGGCTTTCACTCTCCTGGTAAATTTTTATCAATCTATCTCGATCTCTGTTTCAGATCTGACTCATATATGTCTTCTCTGTTTTTTTTTTTTGTTTAGGATTCGTCACTGTTCAACCGGCTTCTCCTGTAAGTATTGTAATTTCCTTAATGCTTCTGACTCTGTTTTATGTGGTAAAGTAAATGTTTGTTTTAACGCTCTTTTTTTTTAATTGGAATTAGTTTGATAGCTTTAGCAGAATCAATGCTACCAGAAATTCACAGAGAGATCTATCTGTCAGAGTCCATGAGGTTCTCCATAGATTCACTCCTGTGATTCCAAAGGTTGGTCCTTTTGTCATCATTGTAGATTCAAAGGCATCGACTTTCTGTTTTTCCTACTTCAAATTTACATCTTTCTTCTCGTAGCTTCGTAGATTTAAAGCTCTCTGTAATGGTTGGAACCTGATGTTGACATAGATCTGGTCTATAGATGTTTAATTTTTTCACATTGAAGAATGTATTCTTGGCATTAGTGTTTCCCTTCTTCTCATTCCAGTAATGTCAACATGTATAGGCTTTGTAGTTTGATCTAACTTAATAGAATGAATATCACAGTACTACTGGAAAAATTTGAGAAAGAAAGAGAAAACATACATTCCTGCTTGATTTATGGAATCCTATGCAATATAGTTAAACGGTTTGTAACGCAAAAAATTCTAACCTTTTCTTTTTCCTTTTGTTTCACATGCTAGAAAAGCGACATAAACATGGTTGCCAGAGATACGAATAGGACAAGCACTAGTCATTCTAAAAAAAGAGGTCTACTTTACAAGTTCCACTTTTTTTTATATTCCTCTCTCAGTAACTTATTTCCATTATCTGCAACTTTACGTGTTGTCCCTCAAATAATCTGCAGGAGTACCAGTGTCCCCAGCTATTGTTGCCAAATCAAGCCCTGCAAATGTACAAATGGATTACTTGGTTTCTATAGTAGTATTTTTTGTATCTCTCACTAGTTGTTTTAGGTTAACCTTATTCTGGTTTATTCTGTGAACAGAAAACAAAAACCGAAGCCTCGTACAAAGGTGTTCAGGTGAACAAAGTAAATGCCTCGTACAAAGGTGTTCAGGGGGCGATAGTAAGTGCTGATGAAACGCAGAGAACTTGTCAACTGAAATATGGAAGCTACTGCCTCTGGAGAGAGGAAAATAAGGAACCCTTGAAAGATGCTAAGGTGAAGCACATGAAGGACCTCCTGTTTGTGGCTCGGGCATACTATCCAAGTATTGCTAAAATGCCTTCCCAAAGCAAGTTGACTCGGGATATGAAACAGAATATCCAAGAGTTTGAGCGTATTCTTAGTGAAGGTTCAGCAGATGCTGACCTCCCAACACAGTAAGTTCTTCACCAGTTTGAGTATAAACATGTTTGCACTGATAGTTAGTTCCTTACTCCTAAGAGATGGATGGTAGTCACATGAATCTCTCCAAATTCACTGCCAATCTTGTCTAGGCGTCACGCTTTGTGCCATAGAAAATCTTAATCATAACACTATCTCCTCATTTATACAGTGTGCAGGACACCCAGAATTACTTCTATTAATGTGTCAATACCTTAAACCAGCATAGGAATCAATATATATTAATGTAATAGATGATAGGAGAGGATGTTGTTTGTTATCTTTGGGGTGAAGGTTTAATGTATAGATGTACTTATTATGCATCTCGTTCCACTAATATGCCAGGGTTGATAAAAAGTTTCAGAAGATGGAAGCTGTAATTTCAAAGGCAAAGTCTTTTCCAGTTGACTGTAACAATGTTGACAAGAAATTGAGACAGATCCTGGATTTGACTGAGGATGAAGCTAGTTTTCACATGAAACAAAGTGTGTTCCTCTACCAGCTTGCAGTACAGACAATGCCTAAGAGTCTTCACTGCTTGTCAATGAGACTAACTGTAGAGTATTTCAAGTCATCTACAGTTGAAGTCGAGGATACTGAGAAATTTTCAGATCCCTCATTGCTTCACTTTGTTATTATCTCCGACAATATACTTGCATCTTCCGTTGTGATCAACTCAACGGCTTTACACGCAAGGGTATGCATTAAATCTAGTTTCCTTTACTTTGTGTTATTTTTTTTCTTGATAGCAGTCATAGAACCTTATATCTAATTCTTTGTTGGTTGTTGATGTTTCAGGAAAGTAAAAACTTTGTTTTCCATGTACTAACAGACGAGCAGAATTACTTTGCGATGAAACAATGGTTTATTAGGAATCCCTGCAAACAAGCAGCTATTCAAGTGTTGAACATTGAAAAACTCGAGCTGGACAATTCTGCTATGAAGAAGCTGTCTTTGCCTGCGGAGTTCCGTGTCTCCTTCACCAGTGGTGACAATTTGGCGTCACAAGGGAATAGAACATACTACTTATCACTTTTCTCTCAATCTCACTATCTCCTTCCAAAGATATTTCGCAAGTTGAAAAAGGTTGTGGTTCTGGATCATGACGTTGTAGTCCAGCGAGACTTATCTCCTCTTTGGGAGCTTGATATGAAAGGAAAAGTGAATGGCGCAGTGAAGACGTGCTCTGTGAGATTAGGCCAGCTAAAGAGTCTCAAGAAAGGAAGTTTGGTTGATGCTAATACTTGTCTCTGGATGTCTGGATTGAATGTCATTGATCTTACTAAATGGAGGGAATTAGGAGTTTCAGAAACCTACCTGAAATTTTACAAACAGGTCGGTTTTTCTGTAAAAAGGAGAAAATTAGTAAGTGATAATGTATGCTTATGAGCGATGACTGTCTTTTTCTTTGTGCAGCAGATGAGTGGTGGAGGTGAGTCAAGAGAAGCAATCGCATTGCAAGCAACTCTTCTTACGTTCCAAGACAAAGTTTATGCCCTTGACGACAAATGGGCTGTATCAGGGCTTGGTTATGACTACTACATCAACACCCAAGCGATAAAAAACGCAGCAACATTGCACTACAATGGGAACATGAAGCCGTGGCTAGAACTGGGAATCCCACAGTACAAAAACTATTGGAGAAAGCATCTGAATCGGGAAGATAGATTCTTGAGTGACTGTAACGTGAATCCCTGATGAGAGAGTAAGTAAAAAAGCTATACACGGGGCCAATGCTTTAGAAACAGGTCACACACGCAAAAGAAAAAAAAAGATTTAGAAGTGTTGGTTAAAGGGACATCTCATTTTTGGAGGGGGGTGAATAAACCCGAATGCATTGCAGGAGAAATGCTAGCAGAAGTGGGTTAGAAGTGATTAGTAAATTGATTTTTAAGAGACATGATATGAAGATGATTGAAAATCAGCTTCAATATGATATAAGTAGAAGAAAAAAGATGTGACAAGACTTTGATGTTGTATATGATTTTTGGCTAAGAGATGTGCCATTCTTTTTCTCATGTGTTTACTTATATTTTCCATAGAGATTATCTGACACTTGATATGACGTACGAGGTAGGATGCAAATCAGATTTGATAGGAAGACTAATTAGGTTGTATTTACACAACTGCAGTGCATGAAAAGAGAGAGCAAGAGAACATATTCTTCATGCAGAGAGGGTACATTGTTACCTCTCAAAGGTCGTAATCACTTTTGGTGTACATATGACGCAAAAACCGCAAATCTTATTTGTTTATAGACAAACGATAGATAGCGAAAGGAATACAAAAACTGTAAGGGAGAGATGTCAACGTAAGTGGAACATTCAATTATACCACCAATGGACGTGCAAAAATATCTCAAGGAAAATAATACAAAATTTTTAATTAAAATAATTAGTAGAATTTTGTTGGTTTGGTCTCTTTTATTTTCTCTTCCCACCGCTAATCGCTTCTCCTCCACAACTTTCTTCCTAAGCCTAATTATTTATAATGATGACTAGTGATATTTATGGTGGTCCTTCCATCATATCATTGAAAAACAAGGATTGGTTCAAAACTCGATTTTTTATTTCATGTCTTATTTGCAACTTTGAAATTGTCTTTCCACTAGTCCTTATCTTCCATTAGATTATGTTTTTCCCTTGGCTCAAAATAATCATGGTAACAGTTCAAAGCTTTGTTGGTTATAAATAAATGTTATCTGATATTGGAAATGTAATTGGTCTACCCAATATTTGGGACATGCAAGAAGTTTGATCCACAAAGTGTTCTTTAAAATAAGATATAATAATATACAGGAATACCGGATTTACATATTGACGACCATAGAGAGTAGATATATCATATAGTATTACTCTGGCCTTTGGGTTCAACTTTAGAGCATATTGGCATAATAGTTATTATCATAAAAGACAAGAATATTTCAAAGATAAACTCATGTTTTCCATTATAAAACGATGCACAGCAAATGACGATGGACTATGACACGTCGGTTTTGGTTGGCATAGATTCTTTTTTCTTCTTCTTTTTGGGTAGACAATAATATTCTCTATTAATAATTTTAAAAGCTTTAAATTTACATGACAAGTAAAGAAAGAACAATTAGACAAGTATTGGTAGCCTAAGTATTGGACGCCAAAAAATGATTAAAAAGAAAAGAAAGTATATATATAAATATTATCTTATAAGATACACAAACGAGAGTGTTAATTAATGATAATATATTATAAAATAAATCTTTGTTTAATTTTATATCTATAATTTTTCGTTAATAAAGTACGTAGTTAATCAATCTTTAAGATGGTAAATTTGCCAACAATAATATATAATAATCGTGTTATATTTATGAATTTCTCTAAAAATCGACCATATTAACTTGAGACTAGTTCTCAACTGGACTGTCTTATAACATAACTAGAGTTAGCATTAGATTAATAATAAACACGAGACCATGAACTATTTTGTAGGGCCAATATTGGTCGAATCACTAATGAAAATACAAGGCTCCTATTATAATATTTTGTTGGAGTTTAGGTGAGCTTAAGAACAGTACTATAACATTTAATTATACAAAGAATTTCATTAGCTTACATTAATGCATAAATAATGACATAAATGTAAAAGACTAGATATCTTATAGTAATAGACTGAAAAGGATATCTCTCTCTAGTGGAAAACAAGAAGATGAGACCATTCTTTTCATATGAGCACCACATTCTCTCTCTCTTCATACACTTGTATATATAAACACGCAACGACCTCTTCTCATTATCAAACATCAACTCTTCTGCTCAAACAAATATCATTAATACCCACACAAAAAAAAAGATAATGACAAAAGTTCATCCAAAGTTCCCAAACACTTGTGAGGAGAGCTTGTGTGATAGTAAAGAAGCTATTGTTTTAACGGTGTGGAAGAAGTCCCTTCTCTTCAACTGTGATGGATTCACAGTTTACAACTCCAATGGAGATCTTGTCTTTAGGGTCGACAACTACATGAACTGTCCTAAAGACAACATAGTCCTTATGGATGCTTCTGGTCTACCTCTCCTCTCCATCCGTCGCAAGGTACTTGTCTTCTCTATCTCTTGTTTGCTTTTCTTTTTGATAATCCAAGATCCAAAGTCTTGAATCAAAGATAGTCAAATTGTTATGAAACTAATCTTGAAATTCTTTTCCTGCTAATTTATGTGATCAGAGGTTGAGTCTTGGAGATTGTTGGATGGTATACGATGCAGAAACACAAAGAGACCCAATATTTACGGCAAAGAAAAACGTTGGTATAAAGAAAAACAGGAGAAGCTTGGTGTCAGTTAGCTCGAAGAAGACAGTATTATACGAGATAGAAGGATCTTACAGCCAAAGAAGCTGCAAAATATTGGACGAGAGGAGGAACAAGAAGAAAGCTGCGGAGATCAAGAGGAAAGAAGCAATGGTTGGAGGAGTTACCTTCGGCAAAGATGTGTTTAAACTTATAGTTGAACCGGAGATGGAGCCTCGTGTGGCCATGGCATTGACCATCATCCTCGACCAAATGTTTAGATCTTAATGATTTTTCATTTCCAAGCTTTTTACGTATATACTGATTCCCTTTTTTGTCATGTAATTTATGCATGTGTTATTAGGGATGAAAACAGATCGGATATCTAAATTTTTGAAGATATTCGTGATCTATCTTTTGTACCGATCATAATTTTTATAATTTGTATTTTCTTCACGGTTTGGTATCCGATGAAAATTGTATTTAACTAAATATGAAATAAATAAAAGATTTTAAAACATAAGGTTTAGCGCAGAATTATAATATTTCACTATATAAACATAATTCGTACTTTTAAAATTGTAATAACTAAAACATAAGGTATTTCTATATGTGTAAGTTTTATAATATTTTTTTCGATAATTCTGATTTATAAAATTACGGATACTCAGCTTTTCGAATCGAATCAAAACCGATAACAGATTGGATGTTTTGTTCATTCTCAAGTTTATATGTTACACAAGAACATAGACAACTCTTATTTTCATTTTAAAAAGATTGCCTAGTTTATTACTCCATATGTTCCTAAAATATCCGTATTCTAGTTTTTTCACACTTTTTAATAAAACACATAAACTTGTATAGTTTTTTGTATTTATCTTCTTTCCATAATTTTAAACAAATAAAAAATCAATTAGTACAATTAAATTTTTTGAAGTTTACAATTAGTTAATAAAACATGCATTGAAAATGTAAAACATAGATCTTTTAGAAATAATTTTTTTTTAGAATATGTATCTTTAAGAAATAGAGGGAGTATTATTATTTTTTAAGATCACCTAGCTACATACTACAGTGAAACCTCTATAAATTAATAATGTTGGGACTACACCAAAATTTTATTTTTTATTAATTTAAAGAGATATTAATTTATAGATATACTAATTGAACCAAAAACTCATTTTGGGACTATAAAGTTATATTAATTTATAGAGATATTTAGTGTATATTAATTTATCGAGTATTAATTTATAGAGGTTCTACTGTACATAAAATGTCGACATTCAATTATTGATTTAATTTTTAGGGTCGGTTAACAGGAGGCGGCTGATCAGCGGGATATGATTAATAATTGTCGGTTTTGAGAAAAAGAGGGGGTGTGAGAATAAACAAATTATTTTGAAACTAATCTGAAATTTCAATGCTGTAATCGATATCAGACAAAAATGTCCAGGAAATTAAGATCAAGTGACTTCTCTACATCAAGAGATGCGTTGAAGTGTTCTGTGTGCTTTGACTACATAGGAAGACTTGTCAAATGGCAAATGAGTTATGTGTTACCTCTACCTCGTGCATGTGTGTGTTTACCTGCATCAGTCCAGGGATAATGTTACTAATTTTCAAGAGAGCTACAAGTCGTCTCTTCCCTTGAGGATTCTATCAAACAAAGGTGGCACGGTTCTCAAGTTTTCCAACCACGTGTTTCACCTCAACACGAAAATGAACTTCATTGAACAACTCAGTGAGAAGCTTCTAGTTAAGCAAGGGAACGAGAATCTCCAAATACTCGACGTGACTAGTACATTCCTTTGTTAAAACCGGATTATATATATTTGTGTGTTTATGTCTTTTATGATGATAGTGTGTCAGGTCATGGGCTGTGCATGCTGTCAGTGCATTTCAATAGGGTCCAACATTTTTAAGGCCCAAATTTGGAATTATATATGAACTCTTAACTAAATGTTTTAAATTTCAACGCTCGAGTAGGCATCATAACTTTTCTATAACTGGATTGATCTATCTTCTTGTATATTATTTTTGAAGTTTCATCATCTCAGTGTATTTATGCCTTTGACCCTCAAACACATGCAAACTCATTGTGGTCTTTATAAGAAATGTTAGTTGTGGGAGAACTACATTGCAATCTCCATCAACGCTCACCAGAAGCCGATGGATACGCAGCCACGCGATTCGAAAATCTGCCTACTAACACAGTCCATATAACTCTATAAAGAGATGTATTAGAATGATTCAAGATCTCTAAACAATTACCTTGTCCCTTAAATATAAACATGTACCTTCTATATACCTTAAATGTTATATGAAACTTATTACACTTTTCTTTTCTTATATACTAAAGCATATTATTTCAGCAAGCTCAACAAAACCTTAGTACAACTCAACAAAGCCTCATGATGTTTAGTAAAGTTTCTTATAA